GATAGCTAAGGGCTGGCTAAAAGGAGCTAAAGGATAGATAGCTAAGGGCTGGCTAAAAGGAGCTAAAGGATAGATAGCTAAGGGCTGGCTAAAAGGAGCTAAAGGATAGCTAAGGGCTGGCTAAAGGTTGGCTAAACAGAGCTAATAGCTGGCTTAGAACTGGCTAAGTGCTGGCTAAAGCGATCTTAAGGTTTGAAATGCTAAAAGGAGCTGAAGGCTGGCTAAAGGGAGACAAATTCTGGCTAACATCCATAAAAAGCCTAATGCTAGTTAAAAAAATAGCAGAAGAGTAGCTAAATAGTAAAAGTTCAAAGTGACAGAACAGTAGCTGAAAGTTAATGAAGACAAACAAGCTGAAGCTGATTTCAAAGTAAATGTTTTAAATGAACAGAAGTCATTTGTTTCAATGGGGAAAATGTTTTTAATCAAAGTTAAATATTTTGAAAAATATAAGTTACAAAAAGCAAAAGTGGCAGCGGCCGCCTCCCGAATGAGCCGAATGTTTCCGCGTCTTGAATGAGACGAACGTTTCCGCGTCCTGAATGAGCCGAACGTTTCCGCGTCTTGAATGAGCCGAACGTTTCCGCGTCCTGAATGAGCCGAACGTTTCCGCGTCTTGAATGAGCCGAACGTTTCCGCGTCCTGAATGAGCCGAACGTTTCCGCGTCCTTAATGAGCCGAACGTTTCCATATATAAACACAGAAGCAGTTGGGTCACAGAAACAAGCAGAACAATAGTAAGAGTGCTGACTCAGCAACAATAAAAACAGATTTGGTTTGCATTAAGTGTAAACCTAGATGTGGTTGTGTTGGTTCTGCAGCTGCTCTGGATAACGAGGACCCCAGTAATTATCTGTCAGACAGCCGGGCCGCTCCCAGGATTTAAATTCTTCTTCTCTWGTTTTTATGTTCCAGGCTGATCCTCGGCCGCATTACAGCATCGAAAGSATGTCTTTACATAAATATTTCAAATCGTGCAGCTTTTTAGTAGCAAAACGTTCAAAACGTTACGAGCTGGACAAAACTTTCAGAAAGTTATCATTCTGATCCAAGATGGCCGCCACAAGTAATCAGCGAGTTCGCTCGTTTTAAGGATACTTTGGCGAGCGAGGCGACGTGAGTTCCTTCAGGGAGTTAAAATATTTACACTGATGACAAACATGAACCACTGTTTACTTCAGCTTTTATTTACAAAGTCTTCAGCTGATTGTTCAGCAGCCTCCGCTACGTCCTGGCTTTACAGTCCACTGGGTTCTGACTCGTTTAGGAGAACGTCCCAGAACCGAGAGCCCGAAGCAGAGACAAAACGAGGTCCTGGTCCAGAGATGACAAGTTTGTTTTTTCCACAGAAAATTTGGTGAATGTGGGTCGAGACAAATTAATTTGATACTTTTTAGTCGCCCGTCAGAGAAAGTTGTCTCAGGTTTGCACTGTTAACTTTGCACTCAGGGCTCTTTCTATAAGAGTATGGCAGGCAGTTTTGACATATAATCAGCTTCACCACATTGACATTCCAGATATTTGAAATAGGTTTGTGATTAAACATGTTAATTTAAAACATCTCTAATTACTTTCTGACTATAAATGATGTCAGATTTGATGTTAAGTTACTGTATCTGTAATATTTATATTTTAAATATCCACAATTAAAGATAGAGGGTTAGTTTAAAAACTATACATGTAATGTATAAAAAGATATGTGATATATAAGCTGCAACTAGTGCAAATTAAACTGCAGATATCTTGAAAGCAAATAATGACTCTGCAAAACTAAGATATTAAGAACTGGATTTATGACTTCCTTTCTAGACGTTGTTTAATGAATTTGAGAGATCTTGATTATTTTCATTTAAATGGCTTCTCTATTTCAGATGTCTTGAATAATTATCCAGGCAAGACAAACTCATTTTTTATAAATCTAGAATGTAATTACAGAGAGTCAGACGAAGCAGATTATATGATAAAATGGCCTGCCATAATCGGAGCAACAAATGATAATTGCACGTTAAATCAGTCTGGTGTGTTTTGGAGCCGACTGTCTCCATGAAACAATAAAAGCAGGTCAGAGGTGAGTGGTGCCAGCGGCTCCTTTAGCTGCTGATCTTGGTCAGCATCTTGTTGATGGCCTGTTTGACGTGTGTGGTGGAGCTGCGGCGTCTGGCCTTGCCCTGGACGGCTTTGCGCCGCCTCACCTCCCTGCACAGCTCGTGGAAGGCCTCGGCCACGGCGCCGCCCTCGTCGGCGCAGGCCGAGCACTCGAAGAAGGCGCACGCCATCTCGGCCGCCAGCCGCTCCCCCTCCTCGGTGGAGACCTGCCGGACGTGGTCCAGGTCGGACTTGTTGCCCACCAGCACCAAGGGGACGTTCTTCGGCTTCTTGACGTCCTCCAGGAGACTCCGGAGAGGAGCTACCTCCTCGAAGCTTCCTCGGTCTGTGATGTCGTAGACGATGAAGAATCCGTCCCCCCAACGCATGTGACCCTCCTTCTGCTGGACGTCCTCCTGGAGACAAAACAGGACATGTCCTCGTAAACTGAGTCGTACAATAATCCACCTACTCAGTTTGATTAGTATCCAGCTACACCTGCACACTTTGTGCTATTTTAGCTGTTTATRTACCAAAAMCTTCGGCTCATTCAGGAGACGAGGCTGTCRCGTTTATGCTGTTCTAACTTTTATACCTCTCTAAACACCAACTATTTACAAAGATTTTCCTCTCAGAAATACATTTAAGGTTTTAAAACATTCTGCTTTATTGTTACTTTTAGCTGCTAGCCTTTTTTAGCTTTTAGCTTGCTGGTCACTGCTTTAAGCTAATGTTTTGTCAGGTTTGAGCTAGTCTTTTGCTGCATTTAGCTTTTAGAACAATTTGCTACTGTTTTGCTAGGATTAGCTAACCTTATGCTACCTTTCCATAGCTTTTTAATACTTATCTAGCAAAACATTTTTAGCTTTAAGCTAGTCTTTTTAATACATTTAGCATTTAGCAAAATTTGATAGTTTTGCTAGGTTTGGTTAGCCGTTTGCTACTTTTGCATAAACTTTTAGTACCTAGCATTTGCCATTTTTAGCTTTGAGCTAGCCTTTTTCTACATTTAGCATTTAGCACAGTTTGATAGTTTTGCTGGGTTTAGTTAGCCTTTTGCTACTTTTGCATTAATGTTTAGTACTTATTTAGCATTTTACCATTTTAGCTTTGAGCTAGCCTTTTTCTACTTTGAGCTTTTAGCAAAAATTGCTTGGTTTACCTAATACTTGCTACATTTCCATAGCTTTTTATTAATTATTTAGCAAGATAAAATATTCACTTTGAGCTAGCCTATTTCTATTTTTACCTTTTGGCACAATTTGCTACTGTTTTGCTAGGATTAGCTAACCTTAGGCTACTTTCCATAGCCTTTTACTACTTATCTAGCATGTTAACATTTTTAGCTTTAAGCTAGTCTTTTTCTACATTTAGCGTTTAGCAAAATTTGATAGTTTTGCTAGGTTTAGTTAGCCTTTTGATACTTTTGCATTAATGTTTAGTACTTATTTAGCATTCTACCATTTTAGCTTTGAGCTAGCCTTTTTCTACTTTTAGCTTTTAGCAAAAATTGCTAGGTTTAGCTAATATTTGCTACATTTCCATAGCTTTTNTCCATAGCTTATTATAAATTATTTAGCAAGATAAAATATTAACTTTGAGCTAGCCTATTTCTATTTTTACCTTTTGGCACAATTTGCTACTGCTTTGCTAAGATTAGCTAATCTTATGCTACTTTTCCATAGCTTTTTACTACTTATCTAGCGTGTTAACATTTTTAGCTTTAAGCTAGTCTTTTTCTACATTTAGCATTTAGTAAAATTTGATAGTTTTGCTAGTTTTAGTTAGCCTTTTGCTACTTTTGCATTAATGTTTAGTACTTATTTAGCATTCTACCATTTTAGCTTTGAGCTAGCCTTTTTCTATTTTTAGCTTTTAGCAAAAATTGCTAGGTTTAGCTAATATTTGCTACATTTCCATAGCTTTTAATAATTCTTTAGCAAAATAAAATTTTTAGCTTTGAGCTAGCCTTTTTCTATTTTTACCTTTTGGCACAATTTGCTAGTGTTTTGCTAGGTTTAGCTAGTAGGAATAAAGTAAATTTTCTCAAGTCATTTGTCAGCCATGTGGATTTTCGGCCTGGATGTTGTGGCTGTTCCTCCCCTGCAGGATATAAGAATTCAGCTCTAGAATCAACAACTCAAACTAAGCTGAGAAAGGTGGGAGAACGACCAAACGAGCAGCTTTAATTGTTTTTTAAATCTGGTCCTCAAACACAAACAGAAGATTGTTGCAGTTCCAGTCAGTGTTCGATGTTCTGGAGCCGTGTGAGAAACGTGAACAGTCGAGGACGAGCTCCAGAAATCAGCTGTTAGCAGGAGAAACGATGAGGTTTAAACCTGGAGAGGAGCACCTGCACAGTCTGATGGCATCAGAGCGAGGACAGTGTCTGACGTCTGGAAACACTCGTCCTGATGCCAGCTGAAAATAGGCCTGGCTGTAACGAGCCGAGGACGACTGAAGAGTCTCAGGAGAAACGGGCCTCCACCTACACAGCGCTGCAGCACATTCATCTCTCAGCCTGAGCTCGTCCCTCGCGGTCGGAGCGTGGCGGCTGCRCTGCAGGAAGTGACGCTGCCGAGGAGCCGCTCGCTCTCGCAGCCTGCCGACACGTCTTCAAACAGCCGAACGTCTTCAGGAGACGCAGCGAGAGAAGATTAACCACGCAGGTTTCAGGGTTGTTGTGTGAAGGCCGAGTCAGAATTCACTCCTTTGTTCTGTTTGTATGAAAACATTCAGCTCATTCAGCTGATGACAGATAAAACCTTTGGATTTTATTTTTAAAAWACTTTTTAAAATATTGAACTATTTCATTACATTTTTCACACGTTTTAAAATTGCTTCAAAATATTTGCTCTTATGCTACCTTTAGCTAGCCTCTTTCTAGTTTTAGCTAGCCTTTCGCTMMATTTAGCTTTTGGGCATCATTTGGYTACRCTGAGCTTTTAGCAAGCCTTATGCTACATTTAAAATTTGGGTAGCCTTTTACYTATTTTAGCTTGTGGCTAGCYTTTTGCTACTTTKGGCTAATGTTGGTGTTTGACTTTTAGCTAGGCTTTTACTTTATTTAGCTTTTGGCTTGTCTTTAGCTTGATTTAGCTGTTGACTTGCCCTTGTCTGCACTTAGCTTTTTGTTGGTCTTTTGTTTGATGAATATCTTGGCTAGCCATTTGCTACRTTTAGCTTTTGGCTTGTCTTTTGCTTGATTTTGCTCTTGGTTTGCCCTTTGCTTAATTTAGCGTTGGGTAGCTCTTGCCTATATTTGGTTTTTTGTTAGTCTTTAGTTAAATTTAGCTCTTGGCTAGCCATTTGCTACATTTACCTTTTGGCTTGGCATTGGCTTGATGAAGTTGTTGGCTAGCCTTTTGCTTGATTTAGCTTTAGGCTTGTCTTTAGCTTGATTTGGCTGTTGACTAGTCCTTGTCTGCCTTTTGTTGGTCTTTTGTTTGAGTAATATTTTGGCTAGCCATTTGCTACATTTAGCTTTTGGCTTGGTATTGGGTTGATTGAGCTGTTGGCTAGCCTTTTGCTTCATTTAGCTTTAGGGTAACCTTTTGCTGCTTTGAGCTAAAGTTGCTATGTGACTTTTAGCTTGGCTTTCACTTGATTTAGCTGTTGGTTGGCTCTTCTCTACATTTAGCTCTTTGGTAGCATGTTGCTACATTTTGTTAGCTGACATTGTTGGCTGGATGAGGCTGTTACTCAGTGATGTTCACTAAAACTGCAGCGTTGTGAAAAACGCTTCAAACTGCGTTAAAGTCCTAATTTGGACAGTTTGTCTCACCTGTCCTGCCGTGTCCAGGATCTCCATGGTGACGACTTCATCATCGATGTTGGCCTGATGACGATACGTCGACTCTGTCAGGCAGAAATAAACAAGACGTTTGATGAAATTCACAGTTTTTAGTTTGTGAATCATTTGGTGATGAATCCAAACGTGGGAGTGAAACTGCAAGAWGATGTTTTTACTAAAATTCCTCCCGGTCGTTTAAAAAGCAAACACTTCTGGTCACTCTAATTATTGTTAAACCCAGCTGGAACTCAGGAAACGAGCTGCTTCTCCTGTTTTAGCTTCAGCYACTTCCTCTGGATGCTGATGAGGTTTTCCACCTGAGCTGCTGGTAAAAACCTGTTTTCAGGTGACACCTTTCAGAGAACGCCAAAGTTCACCCAAGTTTAGAGTTGAGATGAATTTAGTGGAAAGATCATTTTCTCCGTTCTTCAGAAGCTTTCAGTCAGTTCTGTTTCTGAAGTTGGAACTGCTGCTGTATTATTTAGTTTATTTTTTAGAGGGRAAAAAAGGAAAGTTTGGTTTAATTTAGTCAAAAAAAATAACATGAAAAATTTTTCCTTTGTTGAGACTTCTGGTTTTCTGGTAAAACAAAACAAAACAAAAAAACCAAAATAAGCTAATAATTTTTTCAGATGTACTTTAGTTGTGTGTTGGAGATTCAGGAGTTTATTCCAGGGTATCCAGGGGAAGCAGCACGTCCAACTGTTTTAACTGGAAGCGTCAAACAGCTGGACGTCTCTGAGTCTCACTCTGGGAGTTGTGGGAGAGTTTATTTCAGGAGCCGTCGCTCCGTCAGCAGCAGCCGATCTGTCCACGTCCCGGTCCCCGTGGATGTGTCACAGAGTTCAGTGTCGGGACAGAATGTTTAGATTCAGGCTTCGGCTGTTTTATCAGCTAAAGATTATCTAACAATCCCTACAGCTTGTTCTTTGTCCGAGTTAGACTTCTCYAGGACGTTTCTGTCTTCAGTCCTGTTTCTGGTTCAGTTTGTTTTTTTAGTCGTCTGCTTCCTGAACAGCCTCGTCTACATGTAGCTGTTTGACGTGTCGGCCAAGAACAAACTGTAGGTTGGTTATCTTTCACAAATATCTACWGAAAATATTATTTATACGTCGCCTCTCCATCTTCAGCTGCTTATCCATAGTCGGGTCCAGGAGGCATCTAATTAGATGAACCACCTCAACTGACTCCTTTCGATGTGGAGGAGCAGCGGCTCCACTCTGAGCTCATCTCCCATCTCTAAGGCTGAGTCCGGCTATTCTATGAAAGATCATTTTGGCCGCTTGTATCCAGGATCTCATTCTTTCTGTCATGATCCWCGCTTCGTGGCCACAGGTGGGGTTGGAACGKAGACAGACCAGTAAATCCAGAGTTTTGCTTTTCAACTTTCCACGACTGATTAAAGCCCCAGTTTGTTGATCCATCTCCTGCTCCATGAACAACACACCCAGATACAAAGTCCTCTACTTGAGGCACATCGAGAACCATGGCCTCAGACTTAGAAGAACTGACTCCCATCCCAGCTGTTTAACTCTAGACCAGGAGTCTCCAACCTTTTTTTTCCTTGAGCTACTTTCACAAAATGAAGTTGTCTTAGAGCTACTTTTTGCAACATTTAATTTCAAACTTAAACTCAAWCTATTAGAATAAGCTTGTTTTGCCCAAAAAACAGTCTTAAATTCACATGAAACATTGAATTAACAGATATTACAGTGTATTTCACACTACTAACTTAGAGTTTAACCACGACAGATTTGTGCACAAATAACATCGGGTGATGGGTCTTCGATTTTTTTTTTCCGCATTGTAAACTCCAGCGGGGAGAAAYCCCGTGCAGTGACGTATACCACAGCGGGAGGGGTTTCCTAGGAGCTTGGCACAGTGGGTCTCAAGGGTCTATGAAAGGTGTGTGCGAAAAYGATGCCGAAAAACTACATAACCACGCGTCATCTGCCAATCGACCATAMTGAGCYCTAAACTGTTTGATTGACAACCAAGGGGAAGAGRYATCTRTAGAYTGATTGGAATTAAATGAAAGTTTGTTTGGCAAGTAAGAAATAAAATTTTGCTTTTCTTAWCTTTTCATAAGCCCTAAAGAGCTACTTTAAATGAGCTCACGAGCTGCTGGTTGGAGACCCCTGCTCTAGACTGTGAACCGCCCCAGTGTGCCCTGAAGGTTTTGGCCAGAATACACCAACAGAACCACATCCTCTGCATAAACACGAAACGAGACCCTGTGGTTCCCAAACCAGACACCTTCCTTACCACGACTGCACTTTGTGGTGCTCTGAGATCCTGTCCATGAGCACCACAAACTGGATCGAAGTTAAGGGACAAACCTGAGAACCATCTCAGACTGGAAAGCCTTTAATAGTCCCACAGCACCAATCAACAGAATGCCTCAAAGAACACGGTCCTAAGCCTTCTCCAGGTCCACAAAACACATGTAGACCGAAGAGGCAAACTCCCATGACCCCCTTAGCAGCTCTGCAAGGGTAAAGATCTGGTCCAATGTTCCACAACCAGCACAGAATCAGAGGTTTGACGATCATTTGAAGCCTACCATCTAACACCCTGGAATAAACAAACATGAGACTGAAAACCACCAACGGTTTTTCTACATGTTGGTTTTGATCGTACAAAGTGGAGGTAAAGAAGGTAAAACTGATGCCCTCTACTCCATAAATCACTCTTTTGTGTTGAAGGCCCTCGTTCTTTATGCAAACCACCTCAGGTCTTTATCAGACCATCAATAATAGTTAGTTCTGAACAGCACATTTAATATACATGATCAGGTGATTAACGGACTTTGTCCTGAGATTTAATCTACCAGAAGTCATGAGACGACGAGAGGTGARAACATTAAATCTGATTAATAAACCCGACTCAAACGCGTGGATAATAAACAGAGATGGATAGAATCGCAGCCAGTGGTGGGCACATTGAGATGGATGAAACCAAGCTCATGTTCTGGCAGCATTCCTGAATTTGAGCCCCGCAGCCTGCACACCCACACACACACACACACACACACACACTCTACCTGTGTGATATGCCCACAATAGAGCTTTAATAATGTTTCGACCACTTCATGTGTGATTGGTAACAGACACCCACCAGCAGCGCTGTTATTCTCATTACGGACCTCAAGCTGGGTTTTCTTGGTTTTGACGCCAGCACAGCTCTCCTCGTAACCAAGGAGGCCGTTGTTGCTCTTTTCTTGATTTCAGAAATGTCTATACTTCTTTATAAGGCACACACGTGGAATGAAGCTCCATTCATAAATGACATCAATGTACGATGCATGTAGCTCTGCAGTATCGCTGCAGGAAAATACATTCAGTTTGGCTTTACAGGCATCTGCAGGTCTGTTTTTGACCAAATGTACCTCAGCTTTAGTGTTGCTGTTACTCTGGGCTGGTTTCTCTGGCTTGCTGCTGTTGCGGCGTGTCTCGGTGGAGTGGCGGATGTGGATGGAGTCCCTCGGCCCTCGGATTGTCCCTCGTGACCATAATATTCTGCGTGGTCATAGCTGATATTTAAATATTTTTGTGTTGGCCATTGTCAATTTGGAGATATTTTGCCAAATCAGGGCGTTTGTGGTTCCATTGTTAAGAGTCGTCTTCCTGAGGGAATTACCATAGTGGTACCCATTTAAGAGTCCATTTAACCATTGACGTTAGGATGATGAGCAATGTCCAAGTAAGAGTTGAAGATGATGCAAATCTACTACCAGGGCTGTGTATTGGCAAGAATTTGGCGATACGATACATATCATAACAGAGGGGTCACGATACGATATATCCCGATATATTGCGATACTGTAAGCAAGGCGATATATTGTGATTTTTTTGTCCAAAAATTCTATTAAATAAAAACCTCTTACTGACAAAAAATAAGAAAAGCTAATGTTTACTTACGATGCTAATGCTACCCTTACTCTCTGGCGCTCAAGAGGTAGAGGAGCGAAATGGCTGGCTCACTGCTGCCAACTAGTGGTCAGAGGCTGAACTACAACATGAAAATGAATGGCTGGCAGGAAAGTTGACATTTTAAACCTTAATAAAAAAATCGATACAGGGCTTWAGAAYAYYGATACAGTATCGGGAAATGAAATATCGCGATATTTCAGTGTATCTATTTTCTTACACCCCTATCTACTACCATGCCAAATTTTGGCTTAATATCTATAAAATTAGCTAAGCTAAAAGTAGCAAAAGGCTAGCTCAAAGCTAGATGTAGCATAAAAAGACAAAAAACAGAGCGAGTATGCTTGAGTACAGTTCAGAGAACCAATTATTTTTTGCAGGAAATTAAACAAATTTCCAGATAATGGTCCGTTTGACTGTCGTTTGCACTCAGATGCTCTTTTATATTGGCCCAACAAATGACCTGTTATTATTTCAAACGTTCGTTCAGTCCGGTATGGGGAGGAAATGAAAAGGACCTCGCAGATGAGACGCCTTTTGTCTTTTCAGCCTGTAATTACAGTGTTGAAAATCTGCTCAGCCAACATCACAGAATGAAAAGGCCAGCTCTGTTTTATTCCTTGGCTGCATTAGACCAGACAGCATCATTTTGAGTTGTGCGTTTGCATCTCTGCTGTGTAATTTAACAATTACTTTCTATAAAATGGTTTTTCAGCGTGCTTTGCTTTTCATCACCTCCAGAATATTAATCACACTAAAAATTACAGGGGACATTTTCCTTTCTTGCCAATAACCAAAAACAAAAGGCTTGTTTGCTGGCTTGTATGATAAGGATAAAAATGTGAGTTTTTAAAAGGCGATTCAAAGATGTTAAAGGTAGATGTGTTTTTCTTGCTTTAAGCCCAATAATTAATGGTTAAAACAATAACAGTGCTCTTTAGTCAGAGGATGGATCTAATTGTTTTTCTGAAGAGATACTGGATCTATGGTCTTACCTAATGTTGGATCGTACTCCCAGATGAAGCGTCTTGTTAGAAATCTGACCACCAAAGCTGCAACAGAGAGTGAGAACTGGTTAAATTAAATTRACGTTGCATTGCAACAAAAAACAATGACATATTTGAGCTAAGACTTTCTCACCACCAGCATTTGATGTTGAGACGGCCAAAGAGAAAGGTGGWTTGTTTGGTGCTTCTGAGTCTGAATTAGGCCACAGTTCTTAACTGAAGTGAGTCACTGCCTCAACTAATGAGTCTTGTTCATGAGCGATGGTGAGTTATCATGTCCTCTGAACCTGGAAAAGAACTGTGAGCTACTTTGGAACCTCATGCTTTTGCAACATCCCAAAGTCCATCTTTTAGCCTCTGTACATCCACACATCATCTTCCGCTTGGTCCAGAGTCAGGTCGTGGAGGCAGCAGCTTGAGAATAGAGACCTAGACCTCTCTTTCCCAGCCATTTATTCTCTTTTGGGAGGATTTCAGATGTCCTGGGTCTTTCCTGGGGTCTACTCCCAGTCRGGCATGCCTGAAATACTTCCTTACCAGATACCACCTCAACTGGCTCCTCAATGAAGACGAGCCGAAACAACACCCTCACAACGGGTTCTTTGACTCAGTTTTGTTTAACAATGCCGTTTGTAAGACAGAGAAGTATAAACCATGAGATAGGGTCTCATCTCGTGCTTTTTGAAGATGACATGGTTCTGTTGGCGTCTTTAAGACCTTCAATGTGCACTGAGGTAGTTCACAGCCAGTGTGAATTGGCTACTTGAAATCAAAGACCTTGGTTCTCAATTGGGAAAAAGTGGAATTCTCCCTTTGGAAATGGAGWCTTGTTCACAAATGACAGACCAAGAAATGGAGGTTTTAGCTGCAGTAACATTTGAAGACCCTGGACCAGACCGTAGATGCACTAGTTATGCATTCTCCCTGACTTGGAAACCTCCTTTTCCTCCTGGACCTTTGTGACCCAACATTGGTGCATGGACCAAAAAGACATGACAATACTTCATGCCCACTGTGAAAACCCTGTGTTTGAAAGAACATAAACTCTTATTTTAAAGTTTGTTTTTTTACCACATGTAGTTTCCTGAACGAGTATTTGAAAAAATTCCCATTAGATGGTAATAGTGCCAATTATTTCAGGCAGCTGTTCTAATTTGCACATTGATATCAACTTCAATTGCTAATCAGTAAAAGGATAACTCACCAACAGGCCATAATCTGAACTACTGATTCTCTTTTCATCTAAATGCTAATACTTATCTGAATCATTGTTGTTGATTAAAGCAGAGTTCAAACAGCCTTTGGGATAAAATATCAGATCCCACAAATCAGTGTATGTTTTAATACAAAGCATTTGTGTTGCATTTCATTGCCCTTAAACAGTAAGAGCAACAACCTCAGTGAAGCAGTGACTCACTGGTCCTAATAGTTTACCATTAACATCTTGAGCCCCTTTCCTCGGACTGAATTAGACCCTCATTATCCGTTGATCACACAAAGCAAACAGCTCTGTGCTCTTTGTCACTCAAAGTGCCGGTAAACGGCAACGGATAATATCTGTTTATCTGGAAGCTTGGACTTCAGTTGAACTTTGGTTCAGATAATGGAAGGATAATGTCTCGTGTCAAATCCAAATTCAGTCTCAAGAATAAATTAAAAATGGATAATTAGGGTAAAATGAAATTGAAGCCCCTTTAAATCTGCTGTTCCTTTATTTCCACCATGACTAACATCTCCTGTGATGGCTTCATTTTAAACCAAAAATAGAAATCCAATATTTTGCTCAAATGGGAAAAGTATGCTGAGATTTTGTAGCAGAGCCTCAAACATGAACTGAAACATTGCCCCCATAGACATCAATGAGAATTTGATAAAACAAGTTGTGAAACCCAGACCTCTATAGAGCTACAGCTTAGACCTACAGACAGAAACGTCAAAATATAAATGGGTCACAGAAAGTTTGGCTTTACACGACTATACTGCTTTTAGCTTTTAGATAGCTTTTTGCTATTTTCAGCTTTTAGACAGATTTGTCCAACTAGCATCTTGTTGCTTTTAACCTTAAACTACCCTTTTCCTTTTTTTTCCCAAGCATTTTCTTACACCTCCATCTCCAACTGGGTCCTGGACTTCCTGATTGGGAGACCCCAGCCAGTTAGGATGGGTAAAAACACCTCCAGCTGCTTCACATTGAGCACTGGAGTTCCTCAGAGCTGTGTGCTCAGCCCACTGCTGTTCACTCTGATGACCCAGCGATCCATGGCTCCAACAACATCATCAAATTTGCTGATGATGCAACCGTGGTGGGTCTTATCAGTGGTAATGATGAAACAACATACAAGGAGGAGGTGCAACACCTAACGGACTGGTGTAGAACCAACAATCAATCTCTGAATGTTGACAGAACAAAAGAGATGTTTGATGACTTCAAGGAGGTAATGGGGAGATCCAGAACACCAAGTTTGTACGACAAACAGTTCCTTCCCCCTGGCCTTCAGAATAATGAAMAATAACTGACAAATACAGAATATTCCTTTGACTATTTATCATCACACTGCTGCATATTACACAATTCATAAATCTGCACAGCATTTGGTCACTTGAATAAATTGCACAAACGTTTTTTTTCACCTCCTTCCAAACTTTTTGTCAGCTGTATTTTTAGGGGTCCAAGCCCGAGGAAGCAGGGTAACGCAGCTGCAAAGCAGCAGCGTTTCCATGTCTCCAGCGGAGCATGGAACCCTATTGTATCTGTTCCGTTTTTTATTATGTAAGTATGTAAAAGTAAGTAAGTAAGTATGTAAAAGTAAGTAAGTAAGTATGTAAAAGTAAGTAAGTAAGTATGTAAAAGTAAGTAAGTAAGTAAGTAAAAGTAAGTAAG